TGGAAAGGGAGGGAGGAGGAAGATTTCTGATGTTCCCTGCCAGCTTCCCACAAGCAAAGTTAATGGGGAAGCCAGCAGCAAGTCGCTCACACTCCCACTGATTTTTTGCCCTTAGTCATTCTCTTACTCTGTTTACGTAAGGAAATATCTCTGAAATGATGACCCAATGGGTCATGGGTTGTCTAGTAATAAATAAAAATAAAATAAATACATTCTCAGCATCTCACTACTGTGAGATCTAATCTTTCAAAGCAAATGGGGCACCATCTGGAGTGATATAGAAATCTGCATGAGGAAGGGAAGTTACAAAATAGTCTTATCAACCATTCCTCTCCTGGTATCAGTCCATGGAATCAGAAACTTTTGTATCCAGAATTCATGGAAGTCCCAGTTCTAGATGCAACCTAGTCATCCTACTATTCTGTTTTCCTTCATAGGGCTAAGTAGATTTACATAAGAGAGAATGCATAAGTTACTGTATATCATTCTATCTGTTTCCAGTGCTCAGACTGTGAGTACCATTCCTAATATAGTCTATATATAAGATTGTATTAAAAGACAAGCATTCCAGAAATACCAAAACAAAAAACAACAGAACCACCACAAAATCCTTTAGCAAAGAAAATCCTAAAGTGGGGGAGAAGAAAAAAACCCCGAAAACAATATGAGGATGAAACCTGTTTACACACAGTTGCTGACTAAAGATATGGAATACGGGGCAATGTTGCGTTTCTTGTTCTTCCCCATTGCTCAATGTCAATGTATCATAACTGAAGCCTGTATGATGTTTTAAGAATTTTGTGTTCAGTTTTAAAATATCTCTTGTGGAGAATATGTTTATGAAATAAAGCTAGATAAAAATTAATATGTGTAGCTAGGCTGTTTATAAAATGATTAGAACAAATAAAATATCATACGGAGCTCAGCAGGGAAGTTGCTGCTCCATTACTATCTTGGCTCTGCCTATGGGGCAGTGGGAAAAGTACCAGGTCTAGGCTCAGCAAAAATTCATTTTGGACATTTAATTGGAAAGCAGTTCAACTTAATCACTAAATTGAGCTGACTTTATAAACTGGATCAACAATTCAGATCAAATAGTTGAACTGAGAGATGGATTCAAATCAGTTTGACAGTCTGGAGGGGCTTTTGCACTCAAATGCCCTATTCATCAAACTGATTGATAAAATCAAATTGAATGGGCTCAATGTTATAAAACTTCAAATAAATGACTCATAGTGAAGCAAAAATTCAAACTGGATCACAGCCAATTTATACATGCTTAAATAGACCAGAGTAGCTAGAATCCTGAACAGCAATACTCCGCATTACAATATTTGGGTACAGAAACCATCTATTTGGTATATTTATGTTCAGTACTTGGGGATGCACATATATTTGGGGTACAAACCTATTAAGTGACCATGTTAAATATTAACCTGCTATTAGTTTAAAATATACTTTAGTTTCAAATCATATAGACCTGAAAGACTGCACCACTACAGAGAAACAAAAGCCATACTACTTATACCCAGGCAGAAAAAGACAATACAGCTATAGAATCCTCTGCAAAACTTGGTTTTGTGAATGTTTCTTAAATATCTAATCAGGTTCTTTTGCAGTGCTGCTTTTAGTCAGGAGGAACCACTCACAGTTAGCTTAGTTATGCGACTGGTCGGAGTGTTTTATACAATCCCAAAGGCATGATTGTATTAATTCAGTGAATACAGCACTTCAAAGTTGCTACCAGACTCATGCTGGGCAGCTCTATTCAGTACGGCTATAATATGAAAGAATATTTGGGTCTGGTAGGCACACTGCAGTGTTGATGTAATGGTTGGTTCACAGACTGATAAGGATTCAGGAGACAATTTTGTAAATAGCCACTTGCTTTGCAAGCTCATCTGTTATCAGTGAAAAGAACCACCTCTTTGCCAATTACAGGAAAGCTATCAGAAAGAAACTAGCAAAGTCTCTGCTGTAATCTATTGGGGAATAATTTGGTTCTAAATGGGAAATAGTTCAATCACTAAAACTCATATACCTTTTCCCTTTCCCTTTCATCAATCATGTTAAAGAACACTATGAAAAACATGCTTAGAAGAATTACTTTTGGCTGAAGCAGCTGTCAAAGAACTGGGCATTTGATGGACATCTGAAACTGGATGGACACAGATATTCAAGTAGACATTTACTAGCTAGCAAATCAATGAAGTTGCTCCACATCCCTGTCCCTTTAAGATGCTCTTATCCCTGCACTGGCAGCCATCTAGCATGCCTGTGTAATATGTGGGCCCCAGGGGCATTGTTGCAAATAGATGCTAGAAACGGGTGTTTTGCTGCTCAATAGCTGCTTCTACATTTAAAAAAAAACCTATCTGCTCACAATATCTGAACCTATTTTCTAGGATATACACTGTGTTCTTGTGTTATATCCAAGATCCTACCTTGATAAGTAGCTTGGATTAGACAACTATAACAATTCTACATACAAAGATTGTGTATTTTATTTTGCTATTGTCAGTTTTTCTTGTTAAGGCCATGACTCAAAACAGCTTTGTAAGGTTTGTAACAAGTGTTATTTTAAATATACCAACATGAAGAAATAAATCATTTGTGCTTCCTCTAAGCAGAATGTCAAAGGCAGCTAATGCCCTGCTGAGTTTCAGGATATACTTATGCCCTCAATTCTTGGCACATGTATAATCTGTATATGAAGAAGAAAGCCCTTTCAGTATTCTGATGAGGCTACATGTGCTCACCACTTTTAATCCTACCAAATAAATAATCAGACAAGAGGCAAACTATAAATTATTACTAGGAACAGGAAAGTTGGTTAATAACATCCTTTTTGTTTTAAAAATATTACCCTGAGACTGATGCTACATAATGATGTTTTCCCCTTCTTAAAAATGGAATTTTAAATGCTTAAAAATAGCACTTTCATTTGAATGGGTCATTAATTTCATAGAGCTTGCTTCCTAGTAACTGTCTTTTTTGGAGGGTAGCCTTATACATGGGTCCTCAATACATTGCATAGATGTATATCCTGTCAACTGCACTAGAATCAATGGGCATATAGATGACCATATGTCTGAATATAGATTTCAGCCACCATACAAAGAAGCTTGTTCAAAAGTTGGTTCATTATCACAGTTTTTGTCTTCATCTGACTTGCCTCAATTGGGTTAAATTAAAAGCTACTGTTTGATGTGATAATTTAAATAATTTATGTCAGCAGTGGGATCAGAACTTATAACCTGCTATTCATGAAAGAGTGCTTTAAGCCAACAATCATTTTAAGTCATAACACAGTTTGTTTCATTTTACTGTTTATAAACCATTGTGGTTTTTACTGGTATGCTAAACTAGCCACAAATACAAACTATGGTCTGTGGCTAGTTTAGTAACCCAGTAAAATAAAAACATGAAAGTGTGTTGTGTGAACTTAATGACTGCATGCAAGCATACATACACAAAGTTTCAGTGATTCTCTTTTGCCAATTCTTTACTCCAAATTCTTGCTATCAATTATCTATTCTCAACCTACCAATCACTTTCCTGACCTCTTTGCTTTCCCAATGCATATCCCATTTCTATTCCAAGTGCATTCCAAATCCCTACTCCAGGATATTCCAAATGCACATTTGAAAAGGGAAACACAAGTTTGGCAATTTGCAGAGGAAATCTGGAGAAATTCAGGGTAGACAGCCGTGAGCGAGAAAAGGGTTAGGCACTATTCATCCTACAAGTTTCAAAAAGTAAGTTTCTCTTCTCCAAATATGTTTGGAACATCATGGAATAGGAAATACATGTGTATTGCAGGTAGGCCAATTTGAAGCAGAAAAGGAATGGATGGAGAAAAGGATTAAACAGAATTTGTCTGTTGCCATTTCTTCGCTCTAACCCCGAGTTCCAAACCCAGTTTTTCCTGATCATTTTTTTTTTTAACGGAAGAATATATGTGCACTGTTGTAGTTAAGGCTTCAGCTCCAAATAATGAACTGACAGATGCTGACAGATGACTTAAAAGTTCCTTCCCATGGGCAATAAAGTATTGGCTCCAGTACAACAGCAAGTATAACTTCTTAGCACCTTGTACTTCGCTTTGCTAGATGGATTATGAATGACTGGAGCAAAACAGAGTCGCTATCTGCACAGTGTTTCTCCCTACCGTGCATCATGAGAGCACATCCATAGACAGCATTTGCAGAATCTGTGCCACTGGAGTCACTGAAGGAGCCCTCCAGACAGGCACTTGCATATGAGCACAACTTCGGTGCTTAAAAACTGACACAGGTTAGGAGTATAAGACACAAGGCTTACACTCCTAACCTGCAAACCAGTTTACACTTGCCTGGGAGCCAAACTCCGGGGGACTGACTTGCACTTAAAGCACCAGGGCACTCTCACCTCCACCTTCCCTTGAAAACAGCCTGAGAGGTATTTTTACACTCGGATGAAGATGAGTTTTTGGGCAGCCCTAGTTCAGTTAGGAAACGGCGGAGGCAGGGGAGAGCGGGCCGAGTATGTAGCATAGGACGAGCTGCAGAGGAGAGTTCCGTCTCACTAACCTCGGGGGGACTTCTTTCTGAGTCAGCACGGCAGACACGGGGCTACGTCAATCGCGGGAGGAAGGGCTCTCAGGCCACACGCGAGCCGTCGCACTTGCGACGGAACCTCGGGCATCCCACGATCGCGAGCTCCTGGAGAGCGAGCGAGTGAGGAGGCCGGGCAGTCTTTCTTTCTTTCTTTCTTTTTCTTTCTCTCTCTCTCTCTCGCCCACCCTCCCAGTGCCTTCACGCCTTTTCTATGCCAGGAACGAGGTACTGGCCTTCCCCTCCCTGGACTCCGGGGGTTGGCCAGGCCGCCAGGGAAGGAAAGGGGGACGTTAGAGGTCAGCAGCAGCAACCGTGGCAGGAAGGGGGCGGCGGCGGCAGCAGCAGCAGCAGCAGCAGCAGAACCGGCCGGCGAGAGCGGAGAGCAAAAGTTGTTCGACTCACACAGTGAAGTGGTAGACGAAGCACTTCCAGCCGGTGGGTCTCTCCAAGAAGTTGTAGACCCGGCCTTGGATGTTGCTGCGGCTGAGCAGAGGTCTGCGGACGCTGTAGATGGAGACGCGCGGGTCTAAGCTGATCGGCGGGCGCGGGAAATCGGCGCTCATCACTACCGTGGCCGCTTCGCCGCTGCTCGGCGGCTCTTTCGTCCCCTGGGGTCCTGTGGGCGCGGAGACGGAAAACGGCGCGTAGTGGGCGTTGGGGGCGTTCTCGGCGAGCTCAAGGGCGGAGGGCTTCAGGCTGCCTTTCCTGGATGAAAGGGACAGGCGCCCCAAGCTCCACGCTCTCTTCTCCGCCTTGGGGGAGGAAGACGACATCGCCTCGTCGAGGAAGACGGCGGGAAGGCTACTGGGGCAAGCAAGCGAGGGGGCAAGCGAGAAAGCTGCGCGCCCCGGCAGGCAAAGGCAGGCGCAGCTGGAGAGTCTCACCAACACGCACGGGCTCTCAACACTGGCTCGCCCGCTCCGTGCCCGGCGGAGAGTTCTCCTTGGCCCTGCCCACAAAGGGGAGGGCTCCTCGGGAAAGGTCCCAGTTCTCCGGGTCGCAGCCAGCAGCCGGCCAAGGAGTAGGGGCTCAGCGCTGCCGGGGTAGCAGGTATCCAACGCGTACAGTTACCCTGTTATTATTACGAACAGCTTCAGCTGACGAACCGCAAGGATATCTCTGATAACTGCTGTACCGTCTGAACAGAAAACGATTTCATCTCGTTGCGTTTTATCCCCACCGTAAGTACCCCTATGAGGCCAGTCAGGGGTGATTTGCCAAAGGCTACCCGCAGAGGGGCCACAGCAGATCGCAGCAACTGGTCGACCTTGGCTGACCTCGAAAAAGCTAAACGGGGTCAAAGCTGGTTAATGTTTGGATGGGGAGATCACCAGCAAATCTCAGGGCTAGAGGCTGGAGTGGGAAGTGAGGCATCCCAGAAGGAACCAGCGCAAACCAGTTCTACTGAGCGGCCCCCTCCCCAACACACACACACGAACATATTCATGAAGTCACCACAAGTCAAACTCAACTTATGGGAATGTGTATATTTTTCTAGTTCATTTTAGTAATGTCCCAGTTATGGAGGTTGCTTGCTTACTCTTGTTTTAGAACCACCCAGAGGGACACCATTGAGCTAAAATGAGAAAGCATGACTTCAGGTTGGTACTTGAGGACCTCTACTAAGGGCACTCATATGAAGGCATTTCTCATAATATATATTAGTAGTGCACGCAGGAGCTATAATGGAAGAGGTATGCCACATTTTTCTGTGTCAATGTCCCCCCACCCCCACCCATAGTTCAAGAGTCCTGTACAGAACACAGACTGTCTCATGTCTTCTGAGCATCACTGCAAGTCAGTGGATCAAGGCGGGTAAAGCAGGTGACCTGTGAAACAGGAGACCCTCGACCACAAAACAATAACTTTGGACTGAGTTCCATTGAATTGAATGTATTTACTTCCATGTAGAAATTATATGTTCTTTGCAGATGGTCTTTGTGATGCTGCTGTTTACATGATAACTGTAATCTAAATATTAGAGTGGCTACCACTTCTTAAATTGCAATGTTTGCTACGATAATGTTTGTGAAACACTTTGAACACTGTAAAATACAATAAAAAGTATGGTAATCTTGGCAGCAGTACTCTGTTTCTTTCTTAAAGCACACCAAGGTATAAATCAGTCAATTATATGTTTTTTTCCCTCTGTTGTAATGTCGTCAAACTTTTCCATTGTCCCCTTTTTTTTTTTACGCAACCACTACTCAGCCCTACATTGAATAGACTTGTTTGGGTGCACAAAAAGTTTCAGCCCCTGTCAGAAGAAGCAAGCTGAAGCAATGCATTCAAGCTGAACATGAACTAGCTTGACTGAAGAAAAAAGCAGTTCTTAGGAATGGGCAATACAGTAATATGCACTGATCCCAAGAAGGCAGGTAGACACAGAGGTGCTGCAGCTACTAAACAGGGAACTCGGTAAAGTTTTAGAATCTTGTTGTCTGGACAGTCATCACATAAAATATTGCACTCTTCTAAATTGAAATGAATACTTATTCATAACTGGTTGCAGGTTATGTAAGCGCCTAGCTATCAGCAAATGTATTACAAGTACCAGATAGTTGGATCAGACAAGCAAGAGGGAGCTACACATTACTGCATAATCTTGAGCCATGGAAAGCTTAAGCATTTGCAAGCAGGTCTTTTGTAAGCCATGGACTTACAGCATATAGAAGAGAACAGGAATGGATGGTGCACTAGGGCAAGAACGTGGAAGAGCACAAGGGAGCACTAGTGAGATAATGAATGGGTTCTCATATTGTAGCAAGCTAAAGTTTGCATAGCCATGGTTTGTTGAGTAAACTAATGTTGTGGAGTCCTTGGGGTTCTCTCAGCTTTGTTGTTTTCCTGCAAATGTTTCATTACCTGGCTAGGTAACATCTTCAGTACTCGGGTAACAAAACATTTGTAAGAAAACAACCAAGCTCAGAGAACCCCAAGGACTCCACAGTTCAACCCTGAGCTACATATATTCTCTTCTGTTGGTAAACTAGTGTGGGCTGGATTCACGCAATGTACTAAAGATAAGCTATATTTAGCAAACCACAATGGCTGGGTTCACATTGTAAACAGAATCATGTAGCCATATCCTGGACCCTTATCCAATTCTCAGAGGATAAGGATTGATTAAAGTGATGAAGTAATCTCATTTCTCAACAGTCATTGTATCTCCACAGTTGCAGGCCATCTGAGCATTTCAGAATTCAATTTAACCTTAGTCAAATAACTCTGCAACTCATTTTGGACCTTTCAGTTGCTTGCTGTACTCAGTCTGCATCCCATTCTGTAGGATAAATCATTCATTTTTGGAGTGTGTTGAATGCTACAGATAACAGAATCAATGTGAGAGATAACAGATTCACCATCCATTGAGTGTAGGATCTCTTTCAAGTTGCTCAGTATAGTTGGAGATACGTGGATATGGAGACACGGTACTTCCCCTATAGATTTTTGCCTCTCATAGTTGTAGAAGTTTGCCAGAAAAATGTTGACAATTTAGTCCTAAAATGTGATTGTTGCTGCAGGACAATAAGGTCCTTTTTGTTCTCCAGGAGGAAATTGTCTAATTTTTACTGAAGGTATCTATCTTACATCCCATGAACTTGTACAAATATAATCCCATGTCCCATCCTTTTAAAAGCAAGGTTCTAGAAATGATGATGGCTCACCAGTCCCAAGTAATCTTGAAAAAAAGTATTCAGGTAATCTTGGTAGAAAACCACATTGTAACACTGCTATACAAATCTGTGATATGTCCACAGCTGGAATACTGTCAAGGGTATTACTGAATACTGTCAATTATTATTTGAAAAATAATAGAGCTGGAAAAAGTGCAGAAGGCAAACATCAAAATAATCAGGGGGCTCAATCATCTTCCGTATAAGAAAAAGCAAGTCTGTTGATGACATTTTAGTTTAGAAAAAAGGCAGCTGAGGAGGGGTGTGTGATCGGGGAGTAGAAAATGGATCAAGTGGGTAAGGAACATTTTATTGCTCTCTCAAAAGATTAGGACCAAAAATTATCCAATGAAGGAGATTTGGAATGGACAAAAGAAATTTGGAGATTTGATAAATTCATGGAGAAAAGATCAGTCAAAAGCCATTAGTCTTGAAGACTCAATGTTACTACCAGACTGGGAGTAGCATGCCTCCAAATACTATATGTAGGGAAATGAGTGGGAGGCAGAATGTTTCCACCTCCTGCTCGTGAGCATTCCAGAAGCTTCAGGTTGGCCACTGTGACAATCAAAATGCTGGACTAGGATGGGCCTTGGCTTGTTCTAACAGGTTACTCTTATGTTCTTATGTAAACTAGTTTAAATGCATTTTATTCTGGATTCTAACCAGTTCTGAAGGCAAAAAGTAGCTAAACTGAATAATTGCCAGTGACTGATTAAATAATGAAACCTACCTGGTCTTGCTGATTTTTTTCAGCTTTTGACACTACTGATCATAATATTCTCTGTCTCCATTATCTGGTTTAGAATTAGGAGACACACTGCTGTAGTGGCTTCTACCTTATCTGGATTGCCAGTTATAAAGGTTTTTATTGGGAGAATCCTCTTTCAGTCCTTAGCCTTTGACTTGCAGGGTGCCGTGAGTTTTAATTTGGGGGGGGGGGTTCCCCCACTGTTGCATGTCACGTGGAAGCTTAAGTTATATTACTATTACTATTACTACTACTACTACTACTACTACTACACACACACTATATATATATGAGAGAGAGAGAGAGAGAGATAGGAATGATCCTGTGGAACTTCCAGATCCAGCCAGACAGGCAGTACTAGCCAATCAACCAGACATCATGGTAGTAGACAAGGACCAGAAGACAGAGGTGGTGATAGATA